TCCGTCTTATATTTTTGCTGCCATTTCTGTTCAAAATTTTTGTATCCACTTGTTTCCATCAACTTCATCATTTATTTTTTCTGCAGATCAAACATCATTCCTATATAGTACCAATCTAATTTCCATTGCTTAGTAGTATAACGACTTCACTGCTGCATGTATCTAATTCTGTTTTGTGCAGTCTTGAGACTCGTTATTTGCTCTTATCGTTCTTGATTTTTCTAAGGCTTTTGATACTTAATCATGATCTAGTTTTTGCTAAGCTACATCATTATGGATGGACTGTTTAATTCAGCCCTTCCTCTTCTACGATCTTACTTAACAAACTATTTGCAACGTGTTCTCATACATAATCCATTACACATTTTTTCGTCTTTTCGCACTGTTCCTTCTAGAAGTTCCTTTAGAAATCCGTACTTACTTCGCTCTTATTTAATTTTCGTTGATATAACGTCTCTGCTTAATTATATATGTATGCCAATGTCCTTCTTGTTAAATCCTTCAAAATTTCCGATAAACTTTCAGTCTTCCGTAGTCCAAATCATGATCTTCAGTCTGTATCAAGTCTGTTCACTATCCATCGGTATTTATCACGTCTTCGTTCTTCAACATACATAAATAATATATGTACCTATAAATGTCCTTCAACATACATAAATGGTACATGTATAAATGGTATATACATATGTAATTGTATAAAAGATTTGATATATCAACAACTGGCGCCAAGTTAAAGAAGAGTACTTTTCCAGGGTTTCGTGACTGTTCGTATTATTTCTATGTTTTCTCATGTATTTTTCTTCGTAGAAACCGAAAATAATCATTATAATAACACCAAACTTAAGGAAAAATTAATACATTGAAATAAAATTAATAAAATCCTTATCCGCATTGTTACAAAATCACTGCCAGTTATGCTTCAATAATTTATTTATAAAATCAATTCCAAATTTGATCAAATGCGAATAATATTGCACCATAAAACGTTAATTAGATTATATTTTTCATTAATAACATTTTTCTTGGTATCGTTTTCCTCATTCCAAGCATCGCACATCGATCATCATGCATGTAATGGTTTGTGAGATCTTATTATGAATCTGAAATCAAAATTATATCACATACATTTTATTTAAACAATTATCGTTTAAACTATTAACAAAAATTTGATTTGAATGAAAATAATAGGGCACTATTGGATTTTATGAAAAAAATGCATATAAGTAATACATTTCATTATTTTTCTATTTCCTATTTGTTGTAAAAAAATACAAAACAACAGGTCATTATTTAAATTGCATAAGTGATCTTCAAAGTGTTATATTTATATCTACGGATTTAAGTTCCCTCCTTTTTATTGTATCTATAGCTTCTTGTATCTATAGCGTAAAACGGTCAATAAAGTAAATGACTCTTATAGATTTTTTATCGTTAAAAACGAATTCATAAATAAAATTGCTCTATCACGTCACGTTTTTTAGATATTTTAACTAAAAAAATATCAAAAAATGTCATTTTTGGCACCTTTAGATTCAATTTTCTCAAAAATCTAATGATAGAGCAATTTCATTTACGGATTCATTTTCAGCGACAAAAGTCCATAACAATTACTTGGTTCTATTCGTGGTCTAAAATCCGTGTCGGATAGTATAATTACATATAATTATATCAATTATACATGATCATGTACGGAATTATAGGTATATTATATGATAATATATGAAATCTTATATGATCTTGTTTGATATATATAAAATCATAATTAGATATAATCATATATTTTATATATAAGTTATATATAATAATTTATATTTACATATAAAATATATAAATATATAATATTATATAAAAATTTAAGTAAACTAAATTAATAGGGGTATATCTTTGCAAATAACGAATACTTATGATTTACAAATATAACGATATGATGCGTATGTCTCGATCCTAGTACCACTACATGTATTAAGGCATTTGTGATAATTGGTATGTGCACTTTCTTCAATGGAGTACATACAAAATTCACCGAGTAAATTCATCATTCAATCTCCATCTCTAAATCGGAAACTTCACAAATCATCGTTACTCAATCGATAGAGTATGGTATCCAGCTTTGGCAATTAAGTCACAGTGTCCTTGTCTCGTGGGACGTAGTAGAGGCGGGTAGTAAGGGAAGAAGGATTTACTGCTGTTTAACCCTCGGAAACTTCATCGATA